ACAGTGCCAGTGCTTGTTTTCCCATGCAAGCGGGAAGAGCATTGAGGGATCATCACATGCTAAGTGCCAAGAGTTAAATCCACTTTGTCCCTAAAGATGTCGCAGTCATTTCAGACCATTCTGCATTGTTGCAGCATGTGCAGAGAGGACAATGCACTTTGATTATTTTTAAAACTCTTTTGTGGATCCATGACAGTATAAATCTCATTGTGATATCTGAGGCTCTAGGACAGCAGCTAGGAACTGCTGGTATTTTTTAGCACAGCTGTAGCTAAACTTGTTGCGGTAAGCTTCCTCCATGTGCTAGACAGACCTTCTACTGACTTTCAGAGGGAAGACTTCAGGATAAGGAGACTACGCATTCAGCCTGATTTGGCTGGCACACTGATTAGGGAGAAAAATATCCTGTCCACACAGCTTGGGGGAACAGTGCTGAGGCCCCACTGGCAGTAGCAATCACATTTAGTACAGTTGTATTTCCATTACACAGAGAGTCTTCACTCCAAAATTTATGTACAGCTTAATCCGATTATGTTTCTTCCCCATTTCTGCCTGACAAACTGTACTTGCTAGGCCCCTGGCTGGAAATCCATGCTAATCAACTTAAGGCCTAGTAGATAAAGCAAAGTTTTTTTCTCTGTGTTGTCAGCAAACCACATTTCATGACTATACTCGAGCCTCCGCTTGCTAAGGTCACTGGCATATTCTTGAAATCCAGGAGCAAATAACAAGGACAGGAAAAAGCTGCAGCTTGAGCGAAGACAGAAAATGCCAGTGGAGCAGCTCACGCCAGGACTGGAGTGTGGGAGGCATGGCGGAGGCCAATGGCTCTATGCAAGGTTTATGCAAAAATGACTTTGTCGATGGGTTTTATCCGCCTGTACACAAATGAGAGTTTTGATTATTTTAACCACAGAATTTTGTTCCCTGCATCAAGCAAACGAAATACTCAGCAACTGCCAGACTATTAAGCAAATGGTATGAGATGTATTGATTCTGCAGAGGTAATGATCTTACATTTTTACATAACGCCTTTCAGGCTTAAGTATCCCCAGGCACAACTATGAATTGCACCTATGAAAAAAGCACTTCAGGAATGAAACACCACAACTGTCTGAGAGGACATTCCACCATTAAAGAGGGTGCAAACAGCAGAAAATCAAAAAACACTTTTCCCAGACAAAATTCTTAGTAACATTTTGGATAGGGTCTAAATACAATAACCAGATTAGATATTAGATAGCCATGTCTTAGAAAAGGTGGAACAAGTACTGAAACACCTATCAAAACAGTGAATTTCTTTGTCATGAAGTATGCCACACAGCTGATGCAGCAAAAACCTGCTGTACAAACAAGTGCCTAGTTAATGTATAACTCTACTGAAAGTTTTGGCTTAAAACCTGGCTGTTGACAAAAGCAGTTTGCCAAGACATCAATTTTCTCTCTCGTTGGAAAGCTAATGCTTCACATGACAATGTCGAATGGTGCCTCTGCTGACACAGGCAGCAACCACGGCATCTGAGCCATCAACACCACTGCAGTTCCCACTCCTCTACCTCCCACCCAATTTCTAATCTGTGACCAACCTTCTTCACCAAAGATCACACCTCAAATCCTGTCCTCACTAAAGGTTTTCTGCTTGCCCTCAAGCAAGTCATGTCACTATTTTGTGTCTCATATTCTTGCCTGAATATGGACATTCCTGACATTTTGAGTGTTTCCTAGGGATACAGTTCTTCTGAATTTCAGAGAACTTCACGGAGAATGGATCTAAGCACCACGTGAGGACTTTCATCAGCAGAAGGGCAAGAGGAAGAGAGGGGAAGGTTAGAACAGCTTCGATCCTTCTCCTCCTCATGGGAAAAACCTGTGATCATTCTTAAAATGACTTGAGGGTAAGAGCAAAGGCTCAGAACTAAACCTCGCCCTGGACCTACGGAACAAGTCGTGTCTCTGCTGAGGGAGGCTGCTTACCGCCGGAGCGCGCTTGTCAGTTCAGCAGTCAGTTCGCTCTCGTTGTACGGTCTCAGCTCAGCTAGTGTTAACGGTGTGGCGGTGCCGTCACTGCATTCCTGAGAAATGAGGAAAGGCCATCTTATTTGAAGTTGTTGCTTCCCATCTTAATGGGGAAACTCTGAAAACATCTTCGTTCACAGCTGCTTTTAAAATGGAGGTGTAATAAACATCACAATGTCACAACAACAGGGCAGCGTATCAACATACCAAGAAAGGGACTAACAGATTAACACTTCACAAATCCTTCTAAATGTTTCCTAAACCATCACAGCTCACTGATTGGCAGAATTCTGCTATGATGCGCATAATTGCTGGTGCCTTATATTGCTTTTGACATCACACTTGAAACAAAGCTGCACCAGATCCAACAACTCAGGTGATGCTTTGCCAGAAACAAGTCAGACAGACACAGTTATAGACTAGCTCTGGATTTTGGTTTTAAAATATTGCTGATGTTTTCTGGGAACACGGCACTAAAGTTTTTCTAGGTATCACTATTTCTTCATGCAAATTATTAATGTAAATGCAGAAATCTGCTTATTTTGCATTATACTAAGGGTGGGGGAAGTCTTTGTTCTCAAATAATTACAAACTGTCTGCCTTGGAAGAAAAAACTGTCATTACAACGCTCTAACTGCTTCATAGAACTGAGCCCTATTTTTCCGTATTTTGTGTTCGGAGTAGGGGGAGGATGGCGTTTTGCTTAGACTCTC